AATATTTTAAAAAGTAGGAATAAACAATTACATATTTTTACACAGAAATTTAGGAATCTAACTATATACAGCTTTGTAGCAGGATAGTCCTATGACATTTTTTTTCTTGTCTCTTGTTTTCATTTATTACTGTTTTTTTAAACAAACATTTACTTGAGAGACAGTATGGCAGTAATTGATATGACATGTGAAGCAGTACTTATTTAGAAGACCAGAATGAAAGGCATTCCAAACATGACCCTAGTATTACACATTGTTATCTTCAGTGCAGTTGCTTAGTTCACAGGTATTAGCATATATAGTTAGTCAGGGTGAGAATCCTACCAATTTACTGCTAGTTTTAAAAAACCTGCTAAAGATTCTCAGGATCATTACTTTAATCTTCTTGTGCATATAAGTGTATGGTTTTGCCCCTGTCATGTTTCCTGGCTTTTCTCCTTGCCCTCTTTAATTGTGTTGTACCTTTCTATTTTTATTTCTTCTTTTGAATTCTTACACTAGGGAGACTATATTATATTTACACATGTGGGTCTGGTTTATTTCACTTATGAGTATACTTTCAAGTGACATCCACTTAAATATAAAGGCTTCGAGTTTATCATTCTTTTTGTTTTGTTTTGTTTTGGCAGAACTGGGGATTGAACTCAGGCCCTTACGCTTGCCAGGGAAGCACTTATTCTATTGAGCCATCTCCCTGGCTCTGAGTTGATCATTCTTTATAGCTGAGTAATACTCCATTATATAAAAATACCATATCTTTTTTATCCATTCCTCAGGTGTCAGGCATCTTGGTTGTTTCTGAGATTTGGCTATCACAAATTGTGCTGCTATAAACATAGGTGCACATATGTCACTATGATATGATGTTTTTAGTTCCTCTGGCGAAATTCCCAGTAGGAGATAGCTGGTTTGAATGGGATTTCCAATCCTAGTTTTTAAAAGAGTCTCCACACTGTTTTCCATAATGGTTGCACCAGTGTACATTCCCACCAGCAGTGGAAAAGGGTTCCTTTTCCTCCACAGCCTCTCCAGCATTTGTTGTTGGTTGATTTCTTTATGATAGCCACTCTTTCTGGGATGAGATGGTATCTCAGTATTGTTTTAATTTGCATTTCATGGATGGTTAGTGATGTGGAGCATTTTTTCATGTATTTATTTGAAATATAAATATAATTTCATCATCTGAGAAATGTGTGTTCATCTTGGATGCCCATTTCTGGATTGGATCTTTAAATTTTGGGGCACTAATGTTTTTTAGTTCTTTATAAATTCTAGAGAGAAGACTTGTCTGAGTGTTTATTAGTTAAGATTTTTTCCCAATTTGTGGGTTATCTTTACACTTTGTTGGTAATTTCTTTTAACATGCAAAAACTTCTAAATAAGAGGAGGTCCCAATTGTTAATTCTTTCAAGTATTACAATTTGATTTTTGTTCATGAACTCTTTGCCTACCCCTATGTCTTCAAGAGTTCCTCTTGCTTTCTGTTCCAGAAGATTTAGTCTTTCTGTTTTAATGTTTAGATCTTTAATCCATTTTGACTTTAGCTTAGTGCACGGTGATAGAACTGGGTCAAGTTTTAGTTTTCTACATGTAGAGAGCCAGTTTTTCCAGGATCATTTGTTAAAGAGGTTATCTTTCTTCCAGGAAGCATGTTTGGCCCCTTTGTCAAAGATAAGATGGCTGAGTGTGTTTGTACTGGCTTCTACATATTCTAATCTATTCCATTGATCCTCAGGTTTTTTTTTCCAATATCATTCTGATTTTATCACAGTAGCTGTGTAGTATAATTTCCAGTCAGAAATTGTAATGCCTCCTGTCTTGTCTTTGTTGCCCAGGGTTGCCTTTGCTATTTTAGGTCTTTTCTGGTTCCAAATAAATTTTAGGAATGATTTCTCTATGTCTGTGAGGTATGTTGGTGGTCTTTTGATAGGGATTGCATTAAATCTGTACAACAATTTTGAGAGTATGGCCATCTTCACAATGTTGGTTCTTCCTATCCAGGAGCAGGAAATACCTTTCTATTTTCTGAAATCCTCTATGATCTCTTTTTTTCCAGAGTACTGTAGTTTTCATTGAATAGATCTTTTACTTCTTTAGTTAGATTAATTCCAAGGTATTTCATTTTCCGCAGTGCTACTGGAAAAGGTATTATTTCTCTAATTTTCCTCTCAATGTGATTGTTTTCTGTGTAGAGGAATGCTATTCACATTTGGGTGTTGACCTTGTATCCTGCTATACTATTGAATTTGTGTATTAATTCTAGTGGCTTCCTGGTGGAGTTTTTTGGGTCTTCCAAGTAAAGTATCATGTCATCTGCAAATAATGATAGTTTAACTTCTTCTTTATCTATTCTTATTACTTTTATTTCTTTCTCTTGTCTAATGGCTCTAGCTAATGATTCTAGAACTATATTGAATAGGAGTGGTGATAGAGGACATCCTTCCCCATTTACAATTATGTTAGCTGTTGGGTTGTCATAGATGGCTTTTATTGAAGTAGAGGCCATCTATTCCAATTTTTTTTGCACTTTGAACATGAATTAGTGTTGGACTTTG